ATATTTCATCATTTCATTTGAAAGCATTTGGGAGATTCCTAAATTGCAGTGGGACTCCACTAATAAATCCCTAGACTTTGCATCAGTGCTTCCAAAATCTTACAATTAGACACAATTGAATGGAAGAGCAGAAGAAAAAAATTGTTAGTGAAAGACAAGCTAATTACACCCTTAGTTTCCTCGGTAAACTTTCCATTTTCTTCTTCTCGTTGTATTTCTTTTAGGGGGTAGCGTGATTCTGTGTTTAGAAGTCCAACAGCATCTGGATTATATTAGCTGTTTTCCATTTTATAAATAAGGATGAAACTCATCAAGCAAGCTGTGGCAATAAGCCTGCTCTCTCCCCCCCCACCCCACCCCCGCCATCACATGTCTGGTATCACAACAAAAAGGGCTTTTGTATATTTAATTGCATACACACTGTTTTCCATCGTATCCAAACATGTGAGTGTATAAGTTGGTGATAAGAGGTGATTGTGTGAAAATCTGTCCAAGATGCTGAACAACATCTATCGCTCGTAAGAGGAAATTCAGGGTCATTATACAGTTGTAAATGTTGCTTCGTTTCATTACTTTTGACAGATGGCTGAAATGCATGCTGTGCCAAGGGGCATGTATGATGGGCCTGTGTTTGATTTGACTACCACACCTAAAGGAGGTACCCCTGCAGGTTCTACTCGGGGTTCTCCTACTAGGCAGACAGCACCCGTAAGGAATCTTCACCAGTCTGGATTTAGTTTATCAGGTAAGTAAGACAAGATTGCACTGTTTGCAACAGAAGGCAAGGAAAGAAGTTCCAGTAATATTTAGTATATTTTCCCCTAGTTACTCCAAAATCTTTGCATCTGTGCCACATTCATAGGCCTCAAATGTTACATTGGAAAAAGAGGAGCATATGCATATTATGGCTTTCTGGAGCATATTGCTGACACTGCTCATAGATCACATTCCTGCTAATTTGTTCCTACATAACGAATGATATGTGGGGAAATCAATTCATAAGAACAGCAGGAGAGATGGCTCACCTCTACATGTGTAATCCATCTCCGGTTCTTTCTACATGAGGATCACAGATATATCCAGAGTTGACCAGCAAGTTTGCTTGAATGCATGTTTGTACATAATAAGCTAAGGATTATTTCTCTGGAAGATTTTCAAAATGGAACAGCAGTATATTAATAGTCTTCTAATCTGCATATTTGTTCCTCTCCCCCTGTTATATATACTCCACAGGTACTCAGATTGATGAAGGTATTCGCTCGGCCAGCAAGCGCATAGTAGCCCCTCCTGGGGGGCGTTCCAATATAACATCTCTAAGTTAAACTTCCAGTCATTGAGAAAAGAAAGAAAATGGAAAACCATTATTTGGGAAAAACAGAGCAATGGTACCTTGATATTTAAGAAAAAAAAGAGCAATGGAGAATTCAGATTTTGAAGAATCAATAAGCCTCAAGCCTTATGTTTCATAAAATGCTACTCGCTACCTAGCTTTAAAAAAATATTGCGGGTTTCCTTTTTTGTTTATTCATAGCCTTAATATTTTCCCCATTTTTTTTTACATGCATGCAAATCTGACAGGTGATTAAGTTAAAATATGTAATTGTACACAGTGAGTGCTTGTGCAAGGAACTCGTAAGAAAGGGGCTGGAGAAAAGAGGGAGTGGCATGAGCGAGCTCTTTAGCCAGGGTGCTTGTGCAAAATCAACCCAGGAGTTTAGTATGGGGAGGGGGGGCAGAAGACGGTGGGCCAAGGTAGTGGGAGGTGGATTGGGGGAGGGGGGGCAGTAGATCTTTGTATTGTGTCCATGTTCTTCTGTTTCCACTCAGTGCTGACGAAACAAAGATGCCTCAAAACAATCATGAGGCTGTTGGAAAACTCAAATCATCTTTGTAGTGGCTCTGTTGTATCACATTTTCCTGTTAGAAACTTTATTACTTTGTACATTTTATTGAATAAAAAATTGAAAGACATTTTCTTTCTAATTGACTTGCTTCGACAAAGTAATGTGTGTCTCTTTCATTTCCGTTCCTTCGAGACAAAGCAGGTGGGGGGGGCGGGGCGGAGGATGCGATTCTGAATTGCAGGAAAACACATCCAATTATCTTAGGATTGATATTCACATTAACTTATTTAATGCCCATCCATGCTGTCTGTTTTCACATCACATAAAGTTATTAGTGACTCGCCCAGGGAAGTTGTAGCATCTTCTTTGCTCGGGAGGGCATGATGGTTATTCTTTCAGTATTTTCATTTCTCCCTCCAACTGTGGAAGAGTTAAGAGCATCCTGGGTATCTTTTGATTTTGCAGAGCTCTCAAATCAGTAGAATTGCCACTTCAGTTTTGAAGTTTGAAAAGATTGTCTAAGTACAAGTTTTACCTTCCTCCTTTGTATAACTTCATTGTCCATCAATTGTTGATTACCATTTCTACAGCAATGGAATACACATTTTAATTTGCTCTGAGAGATTGTGTTTATTTTGGAAAGCACTTGCTTTTATTTAAGTAAGCAAGTACCAAGCAAAGTAAAAACAACTTTACTCATCTTCCAGTTTCTCTCATTTTTCCTGCCATTAGCAGAGTAACACTTTGAAGGGAAGAGTTCTTTAAAAAAAAACACTTGAAAGCATGCTATTACAATAAAACAGATTTTCATCCACCCACTTACAACTGTCTACACCTGAATATTGTCCTATATATTGTCAAATACATCTCTTCAAAATCTTTTGAATATCTCTGACCTGTATACAAAGGTCGGATGTCAAAAAAAGAGAAAAGCTTGTGTTCCCAATCTTACCTGCCTCATTCCTACTATTTCTGCAAGGAACTTTATAAGCAATTACTAGTACTATCACAGCAAGAAAACTTTCCTTTTGATCCCTATATTGTGAATGGTATATAGGTATATTACTCTTGTGGATTGTTCTAATTGCCACTCAATCTAATTAGTTGCAGGACAGTTTGAATATAGAATTAAAATTGCAATTCTGTTAAGTTAATGCCAAGTTTCCAATTTTGCTTTTTACAGATGATAATATAAGCCCTTTGTTAAGTATTGTAGAGTCATCAATGCACTTAATGTAAATGTTAATATTCTTCAATAGAATGATGCCTTTCTTTCAGAGAAAATTCCAATTTTAAGATAACTTCAAATTATTCAGTTTATATTTTTGTTTTTGTATCATTTAGGAATATTGTCTGTGTATTTTTCAAGTTGCCACATGGTGGTGCCAAACAACAAATAAAAGTAACCAGTCTACTAAAATATAGGGACAGCTAAGGTGAATATATGTATTTGTATTCTTTGAAATTCAGATAGCAAATATCGGACTTTCTCATCTCAAATAGCTGTGTGTTTGGAGCAATTATGTGACAAAGATAAACTGTTTTTCTGCTCTCTGGAGGAGAGATTGTTTTCTGTGCCCAGCTATGAGTTTTTACTGAAAAAAATATGTAAAAATCTATGGAAGTTTTACTAAGGAAAATTGCACAACGTAAATAATGCTCATGTTTTTAGTGGGAGCTGCTATTCAAAATACATGATGAGGCTTAACATGCAAGCTATACTGCTTTTATGAAACAAAATGTTTATAATGAAAGCTATAAAAGGTTTCCAATAAAATGCTCTCTAAATATGCCCTTCAGCCTTTTCTATGGCTTTTCCATTGCTTTTCCTAATGTTATGATCTTATGATTTTTCTAATGTTCTGACAATATTCAAAATTTATTTAGACTTATTGTCTTACTCTGTGGCAGGTTCAGTTTCAACAAACCAACACAATTGGGCCTGTTGGATTGGTTCAGGGTGGGTTAATTTCTTGCTGCCCAAATAGAGAGGCCATACTTGAAGTAGAGAGTGGATTAATTTAGGACTGGGGTGGACAATTTTCCCAAGAGGCTGCGTGAGAAATAGACTAATGGAAGAGTGAATCAGTAGGGCCATAAAAGTGCACAAGCATGGGTAAATTGAAAAATAATTGCCTTCAAAATAAAAGCAATGTAGTTGTATTGTCTGCATGGCATACATTTAATTTTTTAATTTTACATTTTATATTTGATTTGTAATTCCCAATTGACCTCATGTGAGCCAGATAGGGCTGGATGTAAAATATCCAGGTATTGTCTAGTACAAGATAAATTTGGGAGTATTTTTGCTACCAAAAAAGCATGAATTAGACATTGTCATGGCTTAACAATTTCCAAAATCTGGACTCCCAGTGGTCTGCTTACTGCTGCCTTTTCATAGATTTTTCCCTTCATGCTACTTCAAGTACTCATAAGGTCTGGCTAAATCACTGCTGATGTCATTCATTCAAATATGTTCCATTGTGACTTGGCATCTAAACAGGATTTGAAACATTTTCCATCGTGATAATCACTGTCATAACTATCTCTGCAATTTACATCCATCTTTGAAAATCAGACAATCTGAGCATATCCTAGTGTGACTTGGCATCTAAACAAGATCTAAAACAGTGGGGGAGAGGACATTTCCCAGCTTTAGGAGTCACAATTTGCATCAACCTCTCCATTATGGCCCAGATAAACAAGAGTGGGTCATTGTTTTAAAATGTTTTTAAAATGCTAGATTTTTATGCGTGAAAACCTATTATCCATCAATTGAGCTTTGAAAAAATAGGATACAATGGAAAACAGCTGCAACTAAGAGTTACTACAACTTTATTTTGAGGCTTTAGAAAATGAAAAAGGGTTAGTGCACTGCAAAAGGCCCTTACAGAAAAGCTAACTAACTTAATTTATAACATGGAAAAGAGGGGAAATACTACTTTTAACATTCTAATTAACTGCAGACATAATTAGCAACTTCTTGACGTTTTTAACAGACATGTAAGCTTCTGTCCCTATTCTCTTTCCATCAGAAGAATGATGCCTTTCTAAACCTAACTCAACCAAAAGAACATTAATTGGTATTTATAATTTACTCTTGTAAATATTATATTTACTTTGTGTTCTGTTCCTGGGAAGATTATTGGTGGTGATGAGATCAGAATGGCAAGTAGTAATAGTGTAATCCTTATATATGCTCTTAAAGGGCCCAAATAACCATTAACATCCTTTTCAATCTAAAAAGTCTACTGGCATAGAATCGCTAAACTTTCTGGGTTAATACAGTGTTGTACAGCAGACTAAGTAACTGGGCTGGCTGTGGAGGATCAGATACGAAGCCTCAGGCATTTAAAGAAAATTTAGAAACAGCTGTCCTATAACTAGTATCAAACCATTCTGAGATATCAATTTAGGTCTAGATTTTTCTATATCGCAGCTGGAATTGTGACCGTTCATGTATTGGGGGGGAAATCCTAATAATTTTCAGTGACAAGGAAAGTTTTTGAGGCAAGATTTGCCCTAATATATTACCTAATGAGAATGACGGAGAATATCTGAGGATTGGGCTGTAATCCACAGAAAGATATATGATATATTTGTCATTTAGATGCAACGATGGGTTGTTTTTTGCCTTAATTGTCTTGCTGCTACTAGTGGAGTTAAATGAACAATGGCAGCAGGAGTAGGGTTGACCCTCTCCTTTATTGGTCTGCTGGCTTGTATGGTTCACAAAAAAAACCAGAAATGTGATCAATTGCATTTAATGCTTTGTCTTTTTCAGACACTTTGCTGATATAGAGGCTTTTGGACTGATTGCTCTAATGAACCATGAGAAAATTGCTGAACTACAAATCCTCGTACCCCAAAAATGGCCACATTGGATTTGTAGCTCTGCAGCACTTAACAACTTTCTTAATTTTTCTCCTTGGTAAAATATTCTTGCTGGAACTGAGCAGCCTTAATTTGGGTGAGAATTAAGAGAAAAAATGTGGATTTTATCTTTAGAAGCTGCATGAGAATCCAGATAGCTGACTTGTCTACCTATCCTATGAATTTTATATATTACCTAGGAGTAGGATTCGATGATCCTTGTTATCTCTTCCAACCGCATCATTCTAAGAGTGCTGAAGTTTTAAATCCAGGCAATAAATAGCTGAAAACTTGGGACAAGAGCTGGATGAGGGGACCAGATGAAATGTAGATAAACTTTGGTTGAGTGAAGATTACTTTTTACATCTGAGGAGGACACAGAACCACAATGGGCAGAACAATTGTGTAAAGTAGATAGAACCACAACATATACATAGGACGGATCAAGATTTTCTGTTCGCCTCACCCAACAAAAATGTTGCTGCATCCATTTTAGAGTGTGCACTAAAGTTTTGTGTGTTTTGTGCCGCTTAATGCTGGGGACTCCAATGATTTTCATTAAGATTTCATTCCAGTTCGGTTGGAAGGAGTCAGTCCCAGGCTAGATATTCTGGTGCCATAACTATCCATCTGTTTCAGGAAGGAACGAGTATCCAAAGTAAGTAGCTATGTCCTGATCATTCAGTCTGGTTCAGCAGGCCAAACAGAATGATAGTGGCAAGATGGAACCTGAGAATCATCGCTTAGCTAGCTGTCCATGTGGGGTGAGAAAAGCTACAAATGCAATAAGAATCTAGTTATTGAGCTTATTAAATTATAAGCCCAAGTGAGCTACTGTACCTCCATTTGCAGGGTAGCAGATTTACCTGTTTTAAGCAATCCAGAGAAAAGAGGTCTTCCATCACCTTTTGCTACCCTTTGCGTTCAGATAAACTTCTTTAGATCTTGTGGAACAGGAAAATTTCAAAGAAATTTTAGGATTAAAAGAATGCAGAAAGCATCCCCTGATCTGATTGCCTACTGACTATCCAAGTAGAGAAGCCATCCATGTTCTCTTAATGATAATGCACACTGCGTGGACATAATACATTCACTTTTCTTTGGAAATCAAAGAGATTGTATTGGATGAGAATGCTTTCACATTTTGTACATACAGAGAACAGAACAGAACAGAATCGAGAAGTCACTAGATAGCAAGTGACCTCACGGTGATATTTCGACTCAAACTACAAACAGGCTTAAAAAAAGATTTCAGCTTGACAATATACAATAATTGTCAAGATAATGTCCTACTTCCATTGTATTAGCCAGGCTTTTGTCTAACAATGTTGTATCTCGGGAAGAAAAAACAGGAAAAGGAGGACTAGAGCCATAAAGCAAAGCAGAGCAAAATTGGGTCAAGCAATAAAATTGCTTCCCATAAAGAATTACGCTTAACCTGGTGTACCTGTAACATTGATATACTTTTTTCTCGCCAATTTCCAACAACCTGGATTTTTGCTGTCACTTCCCAACTACATGTAATAACAAACTGTACTTCAGGGTACAAAGTTAATAGTTTGTCATTAACTGTACCAAGCATCTATTGATTCCCAAGAGCCATCAATAGTCTTTTACCAAATGATCATCACAGCTAGTATTTCTTTATGATAGTTTCAGACTTAAAACATTTTTAATGATTTCCTTCCATCCCTTGCAAGAAATGGAATGACCCCTTGCACTTACTAGTCAATTCTACTTATAAAATGGCCCTAGTGAAATTATCTTGATTTGTATGTCCATTGTTCCATTTCCTGATTCATATAGTGTACACACAGACCTCCCAATTTGAAGATATACTGGATATATTCTTAGGAACTACTTTATTTAAAGGTACCAATAAGTGGAAAACCCCCACAGCAAAAATATTTCCTCTTATTCTGTGTCTGATATTTTGTATATAATCAGTACAAGTATTTTAAAAATGATTTTCATTTTGAAGTCTATTGCAATCTAAGGCAGAGTTATAATTCGGCTCTATTTTTTTAAAAAACTTCTAAGAAAATGTGAAGCTACCCCCTTTAGCAGCCCTGCGAAGACCGTTTTCCCATAGGCAGTGGATTTAACCCAATTATCAGCAACTTTAACATTTTATCAACAGAAATTATACCTATAAAGTGACTTAACCTTTCCCTATTTGGAGTGCCTTTTACACAGTACTTAAAGAGCATACTCTTTTCTGTTAATGCTCAAGTAGCTTAGAAAAATAAACAGGCATAAAGACGATAATCTGTGCCTTAAGTAGTTCTGCAGGATTGTAGGCCACAAGTCCTTATGGTGGGAAGAGAGACTCAGCATCTAGCCTCAAGGTTCCTTAGCAAGGTATCTGCCTTGTCTTGAAAGCAGTGTGCAATTTTATTTGCTAAGCTCCATGAGCTAAAGTAAAAAGCCTGCCCTTTTTGGTAGTAGCAGCACCTGAGCAAAAACTACATTGATCTCAAAGATTATTATTTTGGTCATCATCTTCTTCGTTGTCTTTGGTTTGTGTCACCGTCAAGTTCTCCTGCATTTTGTTATGTTCTTGTCGTGCCCTGAAATGTATAAAAAAGAAAAAAAAGTCCGTGATCAGATAGCAATAAAGTCCAGCACTTCTCAAAAGTCTTACTTACCATCTGCATTGGAGCACGGGGTGCCTTTTGAGTTAGTCTGGACCAGTCCCTTCAGTTTCTTGGCAAAACTTCAGAAATGATTTGCCCCTTGCCTTCTTCCTAGTACTCCCAGGCTGGCTTTATGCCTAAGGCAGGACTAGAACTCACAGTCTCTTGCTTTCTAGCCTGGTATCTTAAGCAGGATACCAAACTTGTTCTCACCTTCCACATCAGCCAAGATACAATCAGTTCTCCTTTTATCCTATGATTCCAGTTATAAAGGCTATATACCATCCATTTCAAGAACTTATTGCTTATTACAAGTCTCGTTGGAATTTCTTAAGCCACCAATCAATACTTAAAGATCCAGCCCATAACACCCTATAACTTCCATACACTATGCAATGAAAATTTCGCTATGCTGGAAAGTAGGTAATTACACGATTTCTTGCTGGTTATGCTATGTTGATAAGGATGGTCTCAGAAAGTCAAGAAATGGAATTATGGGAACCCTCGTATTTTGGTCACAATTGAGACCAGAACCTGGGGCACTAAGTAATGTGTTGAATGAGTAGTGCCCAATTTTTACAACTCTGGTTGTTAAGCAAATCACATCAAGCAAATTGGACTTCTCTCATTGACTCTGCTTATCAGAAGTTCTCCTGGGAAGGTCATAAATGGTGATTATATAACTCTAGGATGCTGCAACCATTGTAAATACATGCCAGTTACTAAGCATTTGAATGTTGATTATGTGACCTCCAGGACTTTGTGACATAAGTGTGAGAACTGGTTGTACCTTATTTTTTTTCAGCACCATTGTAACTTAATAAATGAATGGTGGTAAATCAAGAAGTACCTATATATTGAGAAAAATATTTACTGTATCCTTGGTACAACAAATCTACCTTTGTTGTTGCTCAAATTCTACTACCTAACTACAGCAAATGCAATTTCTTTCTTGAAGGAAAACAAGGCAGGAAAAAGTAAAAGCCATTTCAGTCATTCTATATTTTTGCCAGAAAGATATTCAAAATGTAAATTCAGTGGGGTTGCCTACCTCAGTGAAATAGTTTGAGCAACAGCCAAATGAGAGTCTACAGCAATGCCAGGCTTCCAATGCTTTTCTATGGATTTTGTGCCAAAATCACTACCTAATTATCTGAGGAACAGTAATCAGATTTCCTTAGTTCTAAGTAATCTTATTGATGTGCTAAGCTAAAGTTTATATTTTCAGGTCAATGCTTACTTTTCTCTGTTGAAAATCATGAAGTCCCTTTGTATTGACTCCAGGTTTTTCTGCAGCTGGCAGGCCTTATATTAAGAGAGAAAAAAAGATCAGTTAATGAGAATTCATCATTGTAGTATTTGATGCAAGAAGCCACTAAACCTATCAAGAAAGACATTTCACATCAAACAATTGATTCATGCATTAAATTATTAGCTGACTCTTGTGTATCTCTCTTAACAGAAACTAAATTCATCTAGGAACCTGGATCAAATGCATCAAATTAGATCAACTATTATTTCTAGGTTATTTTCTTCAGTAGTTAACAATCCAATTTTTAGCATCAACTCTGATCTCTTCAGATCTTGGTTTATCGGAACAGAGGGCTCTAGCAGTAGTAGCAGTAGGCTAAGGATAATATCCTTCCTCAGTAATAGACTGAAGATAATGCCCTTCCTTGATGTATCTTGACTTGTGAAAGTAATTGATTAACAGTGATAATGAAGATATCGTAGTTTCTCTTGGGAGTAGCTAGAGTCAGAACCTAGGGGCACTGATTCTATTCTTTCTCTCCTTTTTGATATCTATTTTTTCTGGCTTTGTTTGTATCCAGTATTGGTGTAGAAGGGGGGAGAAAGGAGATACAAATCTGAAACAAGAAAGCTCTATTTCTTGGTTTCTTTCTTTTTCACAAATGTGTTTTCCTTACTTTGCTATTGTTTTAAGCCCAAAGCTAATAAACCTAGAAAAAATTGCCAAAATCACTCTACACTTATTCTTATTCTCTACCTTTCCCATGGTTTTCCTTTCTTTCTATTCTCACCAAACCTAAAGCTGACAAAAAATAAATAGAAATTTTTATTCTTTCCTGTTATTCTAATCTATTCCATTCTTATTCTTTGCTGTCACAATCTTGATGTAAGGTATTGCTCATAGAATTTAAAATAATCCAAAAATCTAAAACTGGTGTATCCATGGGCCTTTCCCCAATTTTGCAAAGATTTCAAAATGTGCTCTTATATTTTAAAAGGTATTATAAATATACTGTAGCACCAATTCATCATTTAAACTCCAAGAATGAGAAAGCATAGAGGGTTACAGGCTGCATATTTTGGCTGCTGTCCTCCTCATTTGGGACATTGCCATTAAAGTCAATGTGATTTAGATCTGAGACTTCGGTCTTTTAGATCAATATACCTAATGAAAGTGGAAGACATTAAAATGCAGGCATCCTTACATCAGCCAAACATTTTTTGGGTAATTCGGGCATCCAACTCTGTGCCTTACCTCTGAGGATTCATTTTTGTTGCTTTCCTTCTCCTTCTTAGCCAAGCGCTTCTTCTTTTTATGAAGTGGCTTTGACTCCAGGATCATTTCTTCAAGTTCAAAGGTTGGATCACAGTTTAACTTCCCTTTCTAGGGAGGAAAGCACATGCAGAGAGAAATTGTTACCCTCCTCCCCAAATAAAATAAAGACATTTGCATGGACATTCTATGGTGTGATTGAACACCATAAAAGTGAACCAAAAGCGATTCCCCAATTAAAACTATTAGGACTCTGAAATTTCAAAATTGAAATATAATATAGAGGAGAGCTTGAATTGGACAGCTAGGATCAATAATTGTCAGAGTATAAAAGCCTTTAGCTCCACAAACACAAAGTCCTTCAGGCTGCAGTAAAGAGAGCACACTTCAGGTCCTCTCATCAAGACACAGCCACCTAATGGGACCTCAAGAACATGTCTTCTGAATGGCAACTCCTGATTATTTTTTTTAAAAAAGTGTTCCATGCACACACACCCCTCAATATATGACTGGCCCATGCAGGCCTCGAGTCCCAATTGCTATATATTTTAATCTGGTTGCCATTTTATTGTTTTAGTTGGCTTTTAATGTATTGTGTTGCTTTGGGGAGGGAGAGCTACTTGTTGCTGAATTTTGGGCAGCCCTAGAAATGTTATAAATACATGAATGAATTAATGAATGAATTAATGAATGAATTGCTGTGCCACTTAATTTATCTTAATAATTAAACTATTGATTTTGGGGTTTAAGAAGTTTATGTTTCTCTTCAGACTTTGTTGGTGTATGAAATCTGCACGGTGATAGTTTATTGCTTTATACATTAAGAAGCATGCCATAGTGTCACTACCATTATAACTCTAGTTTCTAAATTAAGAAAACATTCAAACTAAAATTCTTACATTAGGAAGAAATCCAGGCAATACTGTCTTCTGTAAAACAGCATCCCAGTTGATATCAGCCATGTATGGATACTCCTGGAGATGACTCAGTTGATAAAATCTTTCCTCTGAATTTATTTCCACTAACTAGAGGTTAGAATTAAAGCAGTTTATTAAGTATATCAAAATAGAACACAATTGCAGACTGAATACAGAAAAAGATGATACATGCCTCTTTATCTATCTCAGACATAATAGGGAACCTCCAGCCCATGAATGTTTACAGTTCAAAAATTTCCATGCAGCCCATAAGTTGTTGTGAATATCCTGCTCTGACTTTTCCTCAGATTCTAAGCTCCTATCCAGCACTTCTAAATTCTTTAAAAAATTACAACATCCAGTATTGTTGTTTCAGCAGAAATATTTATCTAAATAAACTAACTGAAACTAAGGATCAAGTAAGAAATATCCAATGCAATTGTAAGGTAAAACAGTTTCCTATGATCCTGCATTTTAGGATCCTAGAATCAGAGCCAATCAAGTGCAGTGGGTGAATGGAACTGTTTGATGTTGTAAAGTAACATCACACTAGGTGTTAAAATGCATTTGGGGGGGGGGGGAGATGTAGGATGTCTCATATCTTCCATATTTAGCAGCAGTCCTGAATCTCCAGTAATGTTCTACTCCTGGTGGAATGAATCAAAAGGCTTGGAAGGCTTAGCATCTTAACCAACATTTGATCTTTAAAGCTCACTCACCTTTTTAATCAATGCGATCATATCCTGTGACCAAGCAGCAGGATACATGATGGTGGCCGTCTTGTACACATGCAAAATTTCATTGGCAGAATTACTAGAGCGAATGTGGTATGGTCTCTGCAAGAAGAGAAGAAGGCAAGGACACTGAAACAGTTCGCCATCCAACAAGAACAGATTAATGAATTCTCTCTTTTAGGTTAGAGAAGTTTTTTAGAGGAAAAAAAGTATCACTAGATTGTAATGGGCTGACAACTTCTCCAAGAGACTTCACTCTCTCTCCTCCTTCCTCAGAGTCCACTAATGTTCTTAGTTAAGGCATTGTGACACTGGCTAATTTTCGGAACAGATCAACACAGTAAAGGAAGACAACAGAAAAGTTACACTTAAAAAGCAACATGTAAACAACAGGAAGACATCAAGGGTTGTGCAATTGGTGTTTCACTCAATGCAAATTGAGTTCAAGGAAAATCATGTTAGTGGGAGGTGTTGTTGTAATATAGTGCCTTGTGTAGGTGTGTGTCCTCCATGGCCTAGTTCATACTAGGGCCTGCAGAGTCACGCTGAATCACACAGGAGAAAACAAAGGTGTGACGTCTTTCAACATTCCTAGAAATACTTAAAATTCGTATTTTATTTCTGAACTGAAATATATTCTCTTTTGAAATAAGACAAAACAGAATCAAAATGACACAATTTTAAACATGCTCTCAAAATGTTTTGTAATAAATCTTCAGGACATAAATGTAATCAACTAAATTAAGGAGTATATTTTCCCAGCATGCCTGCAATAGTGGGGCTAATCCATTCAACTTTGGGGGGGGGGAATTTAACAGTGAAAGAGCATTTCCAACCTGTTTTGCGTTGTACTAAAGAGCAGCGCAAATGGTGCCAGCCATTAGAATTTGTGCAAAATTGCAGAATAGACTGCAATACTGGGAGATGCAAACTCACCTGGCATGTTTGCCTGTGCCTAAATCAGAAATTACAAGCAAAACCTTTAGCCACCCCTGAGCTTTTGTAAAGAGCAACTCTGTCAAATTCTAGTCTCGATTTGCTGTCTGCTACCACCAGTACAGCAGAACGACAAGCGAGGATGAAAGAAAATGTGTCATAGGCACGTAGGGAAAAATTGATACGTTATTATTTCGGAATCATTAGCAACTTCCATTCCTTACATTTCCAGGATGCAGTTTGGCATAGTCTCTTTATGGAGCAGTTCAAGGCACAGCTTCTCACTTCAATCATCTGACAATGTTGCAGTGGTGGGTTCCTACCAGTTGTGGTTTGGCGGCCTGTGTCGCTGGAACCGGCAGCGGCCAGGCATGCCATGCCCCTGAACCGGTTCCCCAGGCGATGAAAGTAGCACCATCTTGTTTTTCAGTTTTGCGCATGCGCAGAACAATTTTAATTGCATTGTGCATGCACACACAGTGCGCATCAAGCATGTGCGTGCAAATCCGGCACACGAGGAAACCGGCAGTCATGCCTGTCGGAACCCACCCCTGCTACATTGGAATCTGTGCCCCTGAATATGCAAGCTTTTCAATAGCATTTTTCTTACAATAACCAATAGATAACAACTTTTTCAGATAACAACTTTATATCCAGAATCTATTTAATATTAGTTATGTGCTACAGAAAACATCCTGATAAATGTAGAATTCTATTAAGAAAAATAGGTCAGATAGACTGGGAAGAAGACAGAAACAGGAAGATTTGAAAACCATTAATCCCGGCACACATTCAGTAATGCTTAACTTGGTGTAATTCGCTTTGTGTGTACACAGAGCAACAGCAAAGAATACTGAAAATATAAGGCAGCAGTGGCAGATTATGGCTCATTGGTACCTTAAGCATTGACAAATCTTGGTGCCCCTCTCCTTTGTATATACTGTAGAAATCTTCATTGTTTTTTTATTTCTTTCTTTCTCAATTTTGTGGTGCCCCGTTTTGACCTGGTGCCCTAAGCACGTGCTTAATCTGCTTATTGGTTAATACACCACTGTAAGGCACCATGTATTCGAGAAAATCATTTGCTTTTACAGCTTTTTTTAAAACAATATAACCTTTGGATTGAATCATAATAATTCAGCTTCATTTTGAAAGTCAAAACAACTATTTAAGAAGTAATTATAAAATAAATTATTTTTTTTCTCCTCTGCATATGATGTAACTGGCATTAACAGATTAATACTCCCTTTAAACAAGCATTACTATAAAACAAAAGAAAACAAATGTGTTGTGCTTTAGAAATTTGAACGACCACCAATAATCAGGCCAGCAACATGTTACTAACTTGGAATTGTTCCACATATTCAGCTCCAAGAAAATCATCCTACCCCTATCCCCAGACGGTTTCAAATGGGATCGTACATATGTGCCTATATATATATATATATTAAAATGGCACAAACACCCATGAATAGGAAGTTATAAATGTGATACCATACTATCACTAAGATAAAGAACGGAATAAATAAGAACTTGCATATTTACACTATAATAAATGTCCTACTTGATTCATATGTTTCATAAAATGCCTACTGTCTTCTATACTATCCGCTGCACAGTTTGAAAATATGAGCCAACGAACCAATAAGGCATGCTGCAGCATGAAAAGTGTTGAGTTACTAATTCACACACAGCAGTCCAACTTCTTCAGACTCCATCCTTGATCCATAATTATGAAAGGTCTTTTGAAGTATAGTTCCATTTTTTACTTTACAGCTTTTGAATTGGTGATAGTTTTATGATAAACTTTACAGCACACATTGACATTTATCAGTAAATTAATCTCTTTAAGCAGAACAGCTTCTCTCTAAAACAGTGTTTCTCAACCTTGACAACTTGAAGATGTCTGGACTTCAACTCCCAGAATTCCCCAGCCAGCGAATGCTGGCTGGGGAATTCTGAGAGTTGAAGTCCGGACATCTTCAAGTTGCCAAGGTTGAGAAACACTGCCTAGAATTTTGATGACCCTACTACAGGTAGTCCTCAACTTACAATATTTCATTTAGTGACCGTTGTAAGTTACAACAGCACTGAAAAAAGTGACTTCTGACCGTTTTCCACACATACAACTGTTGTGGCATCCTCCACCCCCCCAGGTCACGTGATCAAAATTCAGATGCTTGGCAACTGACTCACGTTTAAGACGGATGCAGTGTTCTGGGGCCATGTTATCTCCTTTTGCGACATTCTGATAAACAAAGTCATTCAGGATTCACTTAACAGCCACTTTGTTAACAACTTCAGTGATTTACGTAACAAGAGTGGCAAGAAATATTGTAAAATAGGGCAAAACTCACTTAGCAATAGAAATATTGGGTTCAATTGTGGTTGTAAGTCAAGGACTACTTGTATACAGTGAATGCAGATCTGGAAAGTACCGTATTTTTTGGAGTATAAAATGGACCTTTTTTCTTCAAAAAAGAGGCTGAAAATCTGGGTGCATCT